ACGAGCAACAGCTTCCTCACCTGGCCAACTTCTCAGCTGATCTTGTTTCCTCAGACTGGAAGCCTCTGTGTTCTCATATCCAAATGGCTCTCAGCTGAACTGTGCTGCTAGAAGCCTGAAAGCTTAACCAGCCAAATGCTTCTAGTTTCTGGTCCTCACACCTTATATACCTTTCTGCTTTCTACCACCACTCCCTGGGATTAAAGACTCGCTTTCTGAGATTAAAGGCGTGAGTCACCATGCTTGGCTGTATCCTTGAACACATGGATTTCTGCCTCTGGGATGCTAGGATTAAAGGCATGTGCTACTACTGCCTATCCTAAGTATCTAGTGGCTTTTCTGTTCTCTGACCCCAGATAGGTTTATTAGGGTACACAATATTTTGGGGAACACAATACCACCACACTTCCACCCTCTGGAAATCCTCATGAAGCCTTCCTCACTTCTTGAGACCCACCCCATCAGGAGGGTTATCCATGCCAGTTCTCCTGTACTTTTTTTTTTTTATGAGGCAGCACAAATTAGCCCCAAACTTAATCCCCTTGCCTCAGTCTCTCCAGTACTGGGGGATTGTAAACATGTGTCATCATGCCAAACCCCTATTCCCATGACTTTTTAAATTCTTTTCTGGGGATCAAATCCAGGGCTTGGTACATGCTAAGCAAGTGCTCTACCACTACCCACATCTTCTTTTTAATGGTCCCTTTCTATGTACTTGCAGAACACCTGGATATGCCTTTGTCCTAACAGTTATCACTAGTGTGGGTTCCTCACTGTGTACCAGACACTGGTCCCTGCCTCCTTCCTTTACAGGCCCAATAGAGTGTATTAACAAACTTCCTCCTCTGCTCATTAAAGCAGCCTTGTCAGAGTGCTAAGTATGGGCTAGCTACTTCCTCCAGTGTTAGGATTCCAACTTCTGTGCTGTCTTAGTTAAGGTTTCTATTGCTGTGAGAGACACCATGACCACAGCAACTCTTAAAAGGAAAGCATTTTATTGGGGTGGCTCCCATTCAGTTCAGAGGTTCAATCCATTATCATTATGGTGGGACATGGTGGCATACAGGCAGACATGGTGCTGGAGAAGTAGCTGAGAGTCCTACATCTTGCAGGCAACAGGACATGGTCTGAGACACTCAGTGGTATCTTGAGCATATATGAGACCTTAAAGCCCACCTCCACAGTGACACACTTCCTCCACCAGACCACACCTACTCCAGTAAGACCACACCTCCTAATAGTGCCACTCCCTTTGAGGATCATTTTGTTTTAAACCACCACACCTGGAATGCTGATTTCTCTGCTAAATGCCAAGTTTATTGTATCAATGCAAAATAGACAAGCCAATAGAGGCACTGGGAGTGTTTGTGAGAGTAAATGGTAAAGGTTCTGATAATTGCTGTGTGCTCTGTAGCATTACATCAGTTTGCTCTTTGACTCCAAACACAAGGTTTGTGATGCTCTTACCCCAGCCCAATTTCACACATAAGGAAACTGCCACATGAGAAGTAAAGAACCTTGCTCATTCTAAAACCTAGCCTAGGACACTGTATTGAGCACCGCCCATGGTAGATATAAGACACATCATGCTGAATGGTGAGGAGGCTCAGCCCATAAAGGAGCCCATATCCAGTCTTCACAAGCCTGGGCTAGATCCCCAGAATTCACAAGGTGAAAGGAGAGAACCAACTTCTAAAGGTTGTCCTCTGCTTCACATGTGCAGCACGGTATACACACACACACACACACACACACACACAAATAAATAAGATGTTAGGAGCTTGTGCTGAGCCAGCCCCTCTTACTGTGGGGTAGTGCTGTTTTCCTTGCCGCCGTGCGGAAGCAGGCAGGAGAGGTGCACATTCCGAGTGTGGCTGCACTCATCCACCGCTTTTACCCTGAGGCAGAGCACATGCTTCTGTGATCTGCTGTAGAGGAGAGAAAAATGAGTAGTTAGGCATCCATGAATAACCTCTGCAAGAACATGGAACTGAAAGCATTACCCAGATGGAGAAGGGAAGGTGAAATGGAGAGACTCCCATGAATACCTTCCTTTATCTTTCACAATGGAAATGTAAAAGAAAATTTGAAATTTTTTTTAAAGAATTTATTTATTTTTATTTTATGTGCATTAGTGTATGTATGTCTGTGTGAGGGTGTTGGGTACCCTGGAATTGGAGTTACTGACAGCTGTGAGCTGCCATGTGGGTGCTGGGAATTGAACCCCAGTCCTCTGGAAGAGTATTCAGTGCTCTTAACCACTGAGCCATCTCTCCAGCCCTGAAATTTTTTTTTTAAAGTAAGCTCCTTCATGACACGTGTCCCTTCTTGTGGGTTCTTCCAAGGTCTTGCTGTGGCCAGTGCCCTGGTGGACATCTCTCAGCAGATGCCCATAGTGTATAAAGAGAAGTCGGGGGCAGTAAGGAACCGGAAGCAGCAGCCCCCTGCACAGCCTGGAACCTGCATCTGAATCTGGGCCAGGGACTCTCCTCACAGAGGGCCGTGTGGTCTGCCAAGCGTCACAGGGGAGGGTGCAGGCAGGAAGCAGGTGCCGAGCAGAAGACTGGAAACCCTTGAAGTATCCACCTCGTGTGCATGATCATACAACTGTTTTGATGGTTCATCCCGTCGATGTCCAGCATCTAACCTTTTACTTTTGCATAGGAAATAATTTCATTTCAAGTCCAGGAATGAGCTGCTCTACTCATGAGTGGGGGAGACCAGCATAGAACCAGTGAGAGCTCAAAGTGAGGCTGAAGTCCTTTGTGGAAACTCCTCTTGGAGTCTCAACTGCGAAAGTGCTGACACTGTGCACAGCTCTCCAGCATGGTCTTTTGGACACTCCTCGGATGAACTGTCCTCATCTGAAACCTGCTGTCTTTTTATAAGATGCGCTTTACTCTCTTCCAGGAAGTAGCTTTTTTCTAGTTGAGAATTAATAATGGTCTGTCTCTTTGGAAGTCATATCAAAGTATAATCGATGGGGGCCTTGTTTTGTTTTGTTTTTTGGAGACAGGGTCTCATTGTGTAGCCCTAGCTGGCCTGGAACTCACTATGTAGATCAGGCTGGACTGAATTCACAGAGATCCACCTGCCTCTGCCTCCCAAGTGCTGGGATTAAAGGCGTGCACCATCAGGCCCAGCAAAGGGGGCTATTTTAAATGTTAAGGTCAATTGTGTTAGAATATAAACAAATGTAATAGATAACTCTCTCTAGCAACTTGATTAATTTAATTTTAACTCATTCTTTCCTTCTCTTTCGCTCACTCTCTTGCACATGTGCACACACACACCTACACACGCGCGCGCACACACACTAAGTGCCTAGACTTTAAATAGATCTAGCAATTGGAAAGTTAGTAAACCTCAGTTTTTACATGATTATATTCCTACATTCTTGTAAAATTTAAGTAACTACCATTGCAATTTGTTCTTTTTCTAAAGTCTAATTTGCAACCAGCAAAGAATTCTCATCCCAAGAGACATTTAATAGAGACTAGCAATAGGGACTGAATGACCCTCCAGCCCCAGCCTAGTGCTTGGTCTAAGCCTGATGCTTGGTCAGCCCTCTGGGTTCCTTCTGCCAAGGCACCACAGAAATGTACTCACTCATGTCATGTGCCTCTTTGAGTAGAAAAGAGCACTGAGTGTGGGACACTTGGCTCTGTCTTCCTGCAACCCCCTCCCTCTGAGCCTGTGGGTTAGCCACAGGTTGATGAAGTAAACACTAGAAGAGGGGTGATGCCTTGTACTGGGGCAGCATCTTCTCAGGACCTGAAAAGGGGCTGGTTCTCTCTCTCCCAAGTGGGGATTGGCCCAGCCTCCTCCCAGACCCAGCTGGTGGCTGTGTGGAGGAAGTGAATGCTAATGAGGGTGAAAAGCACATGGGAGAAGGGGGAGGATGAGACCCTCTTCCAAACAGAAAATACCACATATGAGAGGTAAATAGTCCTCTACTCTGTGCCCCAGGACCTGGCCTGGACATTGCATTTCCCCACTTATGGTGCTCAGTATTCCAGCATTATGCAGCAGCCTCACACCTTTCTTCTGCTACATATCCTGTGATTCTGCTGTTACCTGACTAGAATAGACCTCTAGGCAACAATTCTCAAATTTATGAATTTGGAGAAGTTAACACTCAAAAGAACAAAAGCTGCAGCATTTCACCTTTAAATGTAGTGCTGAGAGAGGGGGCGTTTCTCTAAGGCCAGCACTAACCCATTCCCACCAAGACACTCCTGGAGAGATATTTCCAAGCTGAATCATAAAACATGGATGCACAAAACACTGCTGTAGGACTCACCTCTCAAAACACTGTTTTTTCACATAATTATTAAAGGACAGAAAGTTCCAAAAAAGATCCCAATCTCATTCCTTATGCAGTTAGGAGCTCCCCACATCCCTACAAAACCCAGCACCTATAAGCATCTGCAGTGGCCCTTAGTCTCCACAATTACCCAAGGGAATCTTGGCAGAAAAAAAAAAAAAAGAGGGAAGTCCCGCTGGGGGTTGTCCTACAAGGAAATGTCCAGGGCTTTGCTCAAAGGACCAAATTTCTTTGGCCAAAGAAGTTGCTTCTATGTTAGTCCCACACCTTGAAATAATATGTACCGTGGCTCCCACCTACCTGCTTGTGTTTTTTCCCCCTTAGAGATACTGTTTATTCTTTGAAAAGGAAGAAGCAAATGGCATTTAATTCTGCTCCAGTAATGGAGAAACAGCCATCTTCACTTGCATCTCCTTTACAGCCAACAGCTCCCTCCAGGCTTGAAGCAGAAGGGAAGGGCAGGGAAGAAGAGCTCAGCTCAGCTCAGAGCTCAGCTCAGAGCCAGTTACCAAGAGGGATGGGGTTGCAACTGTGTGTCATGAGAGAGCATGTACATAAAAAGTCATGAAGACACTGACCTTGCACTTGTATATAACTATACAGTAGAGTCCAGAATGTTGAGACATTCAGGGTGTACATAAAACAGAAAAGTATCATAATGTATTTTTATTAAACATTAACATCTGAGTTTCACCTAATCTGTTTCTGTGCCATAAACTGGGTCTCCAAGCTCTGAGAAGTCATCTTACCAGGCCCTGATCCATTGATAGGCCACACATTGTACCACCATGCTGGTGTGTTCAGTAGCCTTGTGCCCATTAGGTAACTCTAATGATTCAGCTCTCAGAATACCCAGGAAGAGAGCAAGCATGGGGACTCGCAGCTGTGATCCTAGCATTTAGAAGGTAGAGGCAGGAAAATCAAGAATTCAGAGATGGGGCTGGAGAGATGGCTCAGTGGTTAAGAGCACTGGCTGCTCTTGCAGAGGACACTGGTTCAGTTCCCAACACCTACCTAGTGGCTCACAACTAACTGTAACTCCAATTCCAGATGATCTGACTCCCTCTTCTAGTCTCCTCGGGTGCTGCATGCATGTGGTGCACAGCAAACATGCAGGCAGAACACCCAGTACACGTAAGACAAAAATAATTCAAGAAGAGCCTGGGCTACATAGCGAGAGCCTGTCTCAAAACAAACGAACAAACCCATGAAGAGCCAGGCAGTGTGTCTGTTTACACGGCGGTACACATGAGAACTCAGGAAGCAGGTGTTCATCACTGTTGTGCATTTCCAGTGCTCCTTGTGACTTCTGGCATCTCTATGGGGTGACCAGTCTCGTCCTGAGGTGTTCTGTTACTCTCTATAAAGTCAAAGACTGTTACCTGTGAACATCAGACCTTGCAAAGGGGCTCTCTAGGCCGCATTCTGTTGTAGCTTTGTCTAAAATTTTAATGACATTTCTGAGAACCATGTTCTTTTTATACTGAAAACTGGGGGTGGGAGGGCTCATTTGTTAGTGAATAGCACCATTCCCTACACCTCAGCCTCCTGTTCCCCTCCTGGTCTCCCTACACAGTCTGGAGAGGGGTCTGAAAGGTCCAGGAGAGGTGGCAAGAAAGCAGCCCATAGCCTGCTGAGCTAACCTGTAAGAAGACTGTCAGCAAAAGGAAAATACCAGAACATCTGGAAGGCTGGAAGTGTAAGATGGGATCTCATTAGGGAACTGGACAAACAAGAACAGAACACCCTGGGTAGGAGATGCCACAGCCTGCCGATGCCCATCCTCCTTCAACGCAGTGGAGTGTACAGAGTTAGGGAGTGATTTACTTCCTTGGGGGATGGTGCTGTTTTTATGGACACCTTTGATCCTTGGTGTCCTTTAATTGAACAAATATTTACTAAACACTTCTAAGCTAAGCTAACATTAGGGCAGCAACTGGGTGAAAACGCAGCTCTTTGGACACAGCTGCCACCCTAGGGGAGCCCAGCACAGCGTTGGAATGAGATGTCAGCATGGCCTCTGGCTACGCAGAGCCTCTGGAGCTGGGTACCCGCCTGCAGGGAGCCCTCGGGGTGCCCTCCCAAGTGCAGAGAAACTGGCACCTTCTCTCCTGAAGGCAAAAAACTGGAAGCAGCTCTCAGACCTGGACTCTGCACAAAACACTAGTAAAGCCTGCTGAACTAATGCGGCCTCTAGAACTGTTTTACGGTTATTTGCAGTTCATTGTTTGTTTGTTTTGATCCAAGCTTAGTTTGTTAATATGTGTAATTTAGCATCTGTTGCACTTGTGTAAATATGGAGTAAGTATTGTAAACTATTTAATTGCTGGGATTGTTGGTGTTATACATACATTTAGGACTGCAATTTTTGGTATTTTTTGTATTGTAAAATAACAGCTAATTTAATCAGGAACGAGAATTAAGGGGGGGTCTGCATTTTAAATGCAAATGTGAAGCACTTGTATATAAACAAAAGTAAATACTATAATACAAAATTCCTTCTGAAATAAAAGTAGATCTGGTTAAAAAAATGTGGCTTTTGTTCTGAATGTTTAATGCTAATGCTGATTTTGTCATATTCTGTATTTACAGTGTATTCTTACATTAGCAATGAGGGGACAGGGATGACTGCACTTCCCACCCTCGGCAGCCTGAGGGGCTCCCCGAGATTAGGGACTGCGACTCAAGAGTTTATGAAGCAGAGTTTAGGAAGGGATATAAAGGCTTGTTTTTAACATTTATTTGTGACTGGGCCTGTGGGTGAGCACGTACATGGCAGAGCATGCTTGTGGGTGAGCACATCATACATGGCAGAGCAGGCCTGTGGGTGAGCACATCATACATGGCAGAGCAGGCCTGTGGGTGAGCACATCATACATGGCAGAGCAGGCCTGTGGAGGACAAAGGACAGCTTATGGAAATGGTCCTCCTTCTGAGGCCTGAAAAACAAGCTCATGTCTTCAACCTTGGTGGCAGGCACCTTTACTTGATGAGCCATCTCACCACCCAGGACATTTTTAAATACTGCATATTTACTGGTTGAGGGGAGGGATGCATGTGTCACAGCACACAGTGGAGGTCAGAGGACAACTCTTGGGAACAGGTTCTCTCCTTGTAGGACCTGGAAATAAAACTCAGCCACACCTTTTAATCTACACTCTTTTACGTGGCTC